ATATGTGTAGGTACATATTTCTACTAATGCATGTATTTGCAGCACTGAGCGCATAAAGACAGAAGGGTGCGGACCACTTCAATGTGCTGGTACTGTAGAAACTGTGGAAGAAACGATGATGACACACCCCGCCCATCACCGCCACCCCGTCAAGCTGTCCACCCTCCCACTCCGCCGCAGTCTAGGATGGTTGGGCTTGGAAAACTGTCACAGCAACGGTGTAGGATGACACTTACAACGACAGTCCGGTCATTCGCAGCAACATGAGACAGGTAACATCTCCATCGGGAGGACGAGTCCCAGCAGCTGCCGCAGCAGTGGAGCACTACGCCGACAACTCCACAACTACTACTACTACTACTACTCCTCCTCCTCCTCCTCCTCCTCCTCCTGCTCCTCCTCCTCCTCCTCCTGCTGCTGCTGCTGCTGCTGCTAGTGGCAGCAGTAGGAAACAGTGTCGTCCTGGTGGTGGTGCTCGTGTTAGACATGCTAACATATCCCAACCATTACCATCATCATCAAGGGTCATCATCATCGTGCTGACTCAGCTGACAATCCTGGGTCAGCTGCTGGGCCTGACAGCTGCCATTGTCCCAACCCGATGAAGGCCCCAGCAACATGGGCATTTCGAGAACGCTACGAGAAAAGTTCAAAAATTTCAGTGCGCCTCATCCGCCAGGCGAGTCTGTCTCACCCTCTTCAGTGAAGGTGGCATTCCCGGCAGCTCGCGCGACTGAGAGGACGAAGGGGATTTGCGGACGCACAAGTCCTACGGACTCGAGATGGTACACTCGCGAGATTGAGAAGTACTAAACTACCAAACCCAGGGTGCAGATCTGTTTGGCCGATCATAGCTTGCGATGGCATGTGTGCAGATGCTGCTAAAAGTATCCGATTGGACAGCAAGGCGAATTGCCTGAGTGTGAATGCCTCAATACCTCGTGCTTTACATTTGCATAGCAGCGCAGGCATGCCTACCTGTTGGGGTTTGGCAGCATGAAGCAGCATGAAGCATAGCCCTCCACGAATGTGCTTTGATCCTCATTTGCTAGCGTCGACATGGCGTTGCTCATGGACCCTCTCTTAGTTCGGTAGTTCCTCCAGCTGCTGCGGTCGTGTTCCTCGGGCCATTCCCACGATGCCGTTTGAGGTTACATTTGCCTGCATGCTGTCTTGCCCGTACGACATCCCACGTGCCATTGCAACTAGTTACTGTCCTCGTCGTTAAGTTTGCTCGGTGTGTTCTCTATTGTGCAAGGATCAATGCTATTCTTCACATCTTGCAGAGAGCACACTAGATTCAGACACCCAAGACCAGAACCGCACAATGCACAAGGACCCTGGCCCTAAACCCAAAAACCAAAACTTTCACACTCCAACACTCTCAACTTTAAACCCCAGACTTTTCGTCCCTGTAAACCCGAAACCCCTTGTACCGAGCCTGTTCCCTCTTCGATTTTGCCGGCGTCGCCAGCAAAAGCTCCGGGGCGCGGATCTGGGTTACGGCTCGGAGACTGCGATTTACATAGGGTTTAAGGCTTTAGGATTTTATGGGGTTTAGGGGCTTAGATTTGAGGTTTAGGATTTGGCTGCTAACCGTTCATTACCCCTATACCAAGCTTTGTGGAAACCTGTATTTTTTTGTCACCATCATTAGATATTTCAGGTCCCGGGCTTGGCAGTCCAAAGCGTAGCATCGTAGAGGATGGCAGAATTCGGTAACTCCATGCAGGCCCCAAACTCCTCCCGAACCCTGAACCCCCAAATCCATGCACAGACCCCAGAACCCGAAACCCTGAGAAGGTAAATCCAACATCCCTAAACCCTAAACCCCTAATCCCTAAACCCTAAACCCTAAACAGACATCTCTCCAAGAGCCGGCAATCTCAGAGCAGCACGGCCTTTCGCACTGGGGTGCTTGGCCCGGGCACGTCGCCACCTGCCTCCCGAAATTGCTTGAGAGGCGACTCCCCGCGCGACCCAGGGCTGTGGGTCTGTAGGATTTGGGCCTCAGGGCTTTAGGGAATTAGGGCTTTAGGGTGTAGTGATCTTTAGATTCTCAGGCTTTTTGGGTGTAGGATGGAAGGGTCTTTCAAACTCTCGACCATGGGTGTAGAGCTAGGGGCGTGGGCTGTACTGAAGTAAGGTTACTGTTCCTTGTAAGGTGCCCAGTGAACCCCAGTCACCACAGCGTGCCGCTCGGGGACTCTTATTTTATCTATGATTGCTCCTTGTACTCTCCTTTCTTCTTATCACAAATCCTCACTTTCTGTTTTACGACCAGTCTCCTCCTTGGAAATTTGAGACAGCTCGTTGCTGATCTTCTTGAGGTCAGTCTTGCCATGCTGTATTCTTCGATTCTGCCTTCGACATCATTTCTGCCTGACAAGACTACCGCTTGAATGTTCGCCCTACAAGGGCTGACATCATTGCGAGCAGGCAGAGCTTCGGGTGTGAGGTTGGCGTGCTGTTGCTGCTGACGTGGTCCACACTCTTCTCTCCGCGGCGTGACAACCTCGGACAACATTGCTGCAATTTCCGGAACCGTTTTATCTTAAAGACACAGACAGACAGAGAGAGAGAGAGAGAGAGAGAGAGAGAGACAGAGAGAGACAAAGGAAACCAATGTACCATTGAAGCTGCCCCTGGCAAAGCGATGTCTGACTCTGATATCATGCATGACTGCTGGGCTGTTGCTGTTGTTTTCAGATTTCATGTTTCTCAACACTCTTCGCCGTCTTGATACAGGGAGTCGGGAACATCCATTTACATTGCTGCTCGTGTTCGGCTTCATTTGCCTGTCCATCCTCGCTGCCGTTGCAATCTTGGCTTCGTAGTGTCTGATGAACATACCCATAGTACCATTGTCATGGCGTTCACCTCTGTTGTGCGCTCGAACACAATGATGGCAGCAAAGATCAGCATGGTGATTGTAATGTCACTGACGGAGTTTCTCGCGAAGCCTAACCTTCTAAATGATCAGCTCTTGCCAAGCCAGCGAAAACTTCACCCCCAACCCGCAAACCCATCAAACCCCCAAGACGCGAACGCGAGGATGCAGAACTCCCAGCCGCGCCTTCTCACGCTTCAAAGGTGGCGGTGTCGCCATCAGAAGCTTCGTGTCGCGGCCCTGAATGTGGCTCGGAGTCTTGAGTTCAGAGTGAAAGTGTGTATATAATCCGATTGGGGTAAGTGTTAGGTTGAGGGCTGAGGGAAACTGCGCCCAAAAGCCCCAGGCCCCGAAGCCATATAAGCGTGTCACACGTACATCCAGATTCTAGATACATGTCTCCAAGTCCCGGCAAGCTGAGAACACTACGGCCTTTCGTGGAGGCGTGCTTGGCACTGGCACGCCGCCATCTTCCTCTCAACTTGGCTTTGAAAGGGCTCGGAGTCTCCGGACCTTTGGGTATTGGGTGTAGGGATTAGGGCTTAGGGGTTTGGGTTTTAGGGTTTAGGGTTTTTGGTCCGGGGAGTGGGGCTTTCGGTCTAAGGTTTTAAGTTTAGGGCTCAAGAGCCCCCAAGCCGTTCACAGCCATTCCTCAGACTCTCGAATCAGGGGTGGTAGACTTCAGGGCCCAGGCTGCACTAAAGCAGGGTTACTTGCAAGAGGCTCAGGGACCACAAGCTGCTGCTGCTGCTGCTGCTGCTGCTGCTGCTGCTGCTGCTGCTGCTGCGGTGCCCTTCTGAGAGCGCCGTGCGACTACTACGACTACTGTTCCTTGTTGTTCTGCTTGCTCCTTGTCCTCTCTGTCGTTCTTGTCTTACGACTAGTCTCCTCTTCGAATTCTCCCCTTGCGTTTGTCCTCTTCACGCAGGAGCATCATCACGGTGGATGCTGGCCGAATCGCAACTAATGCTTGGCAATACAAGGGAGGGACTCCCCATAGAACGGGTCTCTACCCCTTTGCTCCGCTGATTCGACCGCCCTTTTTCCGATCAACATGTTCCTACACAGCTAAGGACTGCGGCGTAGGTACTCTCCTGCACATTAGCGGTTAAGCCGTTCAGCTTCAAGGTTTGTTTCAGGATGGCGCATGGAAGCGGCCGACATGCCCTGAGTTGAGTGTCCTTTGAGCCCTGATCGGCGTGTTTTGACATCATGCGACTGATCAGGAGCCACAAGCACAGTCGGCCGAACCGCAAGCGAAGTCTGTAGCGCCGACAAGCGAAACCAGAAACCCTGGAAGACGAGCACGGCAGTGGTAACGGGATCGTATTCTCTCTGTGGGCTGCCCGAACTGCACCCTGCCCTGATTTGCAATGAGACACGTAGCTTTGACCCCAAACCCTGAACTGGTCCTCAACTCTAGCCCTGATTATTAGTACCAATATTTTTAACACTGTTATTATTGTTTTAGTATCTTTATTACTATGAGTAGACTACGAATAAGAATATTCATAGTAACAACAGTATTACTAGCAATAATAGTAAGCACAATCATCCTCTGAATCCATGCCAAGCTTGAAAAGTTCTCACCCAGAAGATCCTCAGATTGAACGACTCAGCGCTGACCTGGGGTGGGTCGAAAGATCCCCCGTAGTTGGCTCCATGGATGAAAGGCAGTGATAATTTAATTGTTTGGGGTTTAGGGCGTCGTGGGGATGTGCGAGGAATGCCTCGATCCTCAGAAAGACGCTTGTTATTTCGGGGCGTTAATAATCTGACTAAGCTTTGGGGTATATGCTATTATCGCTACATAAGGACAACCACGGAATACTATTGCTGACCACGCAGGCTTCTACATTACCCAGAGAACCCAATACCCCTTAATTGAGGAATATACTTCAATCATACAGTAGAAGCCCAAAAGTTGGAAACCCAATAGCCTCAATCCTTCAGAGTAATGCATAAGGAATCCCAGCACTATTTGTCCTTAATCCGGTTTCCAACTTTTTGGGGTTTACTATACTATGAAGGCCCGTATAATCTGAGGTATATTCCTTTACTAAGGGGTATTGGGTTCTCTGGGGTACTTGCTTTCTCACCGGTGAGCTCGTCATGCAAGCCGGGATCGCTTCTGGTCCGGCTCCTGAGCGGGCTCAGTGGAGTCAGTGGCAGGCTGCTGCGCTTCCAAGTTCACGCTGCTGGGGTTTGCCATCTCCAGAAGGTATTCATAAGACTCTTCGTCGAACTCAAAGATTTGGGGGAAGATTGGCATCAAGAGCACAGCTAACGACTGCAGCAGCTTGGGGGAGTCACTGAATGCCTCGAGCCAATCATCAATCCCGTCCAGTCGGTCGTGGTCAACTAGATCATGGACATGGGCTCCAAGCCAATTGATGCATGAAACTTGCAGTTCCAAACCCATGGCTCGTAGCTTACTGCCAGAAATCCAGCACAGAAACGGTTGATAGTCATCGGGTCCTTGCCGGTCTTGCATCAGGAAGTCACAGATTTGCTTTTTGCCTGCATCCTCGAAAAGCGCAAACACTTCTTCTCGCATCAGCTCCTCCACCATCCTCGACCGGTCTTCTTCAGGCCTGGACTTGCGCAACTTACTTAAGCGAAGCAACTCCGAGGGCGGATGCATGCTGCTCCGAATCGTTTGCTCCCAGCATGTCTCGACAGTCTGAGGAAGCCGTGCAAGTACCAGGGTGTCAACAAGGAGGGCCCTGTCAGCAGGGTCCAGGGCAGCAGCAACGCGCCCGAATGCCGATTGCAACCAATAAGGCACATCCTCAAGGATACGAGTCGAGAAGATGTTGAAGACAAGCATTGCAAGACCAGTAATCAGCTGAACAGGCTGCAGCTTGCTCTCTTTCAACAAGCGGATCGCAAGGTCGACAGCAGCTTCCAACACCTTTTCCAAGCGCTTCCAGAAGCCCTCTGCTAGCTCTACACCGACCTGGGCTTTGAAACCAAAAAGTGTAACCTTTCATTCCAGAATGGTTCCTCTAAGGAAATGCAACGGGAAAAGGATGTATACTGCTCCAGAACCGAGCAACAGTAGTAAATGTGAAATTCCCGTCAGCATTCTTGCGACTTTGCGCCTGAACTTCGACTGGAAGGCCTGCGACCAAATCGAAGACGAAGACGGCCCAGAAGTCCGGGTGAGCAGCAATCAGGGCAGAAGCCACAGCACTCAAGGACTCGAAGCCTTGTTGCAGCGAATACTTCCAAATTTTCCATTTGTATTCCGCATCAGAGGAGGCAGCTTTGCCCGTCTTCACTCGCTCTTCCCGAGACAAATATGCTCTAACTCTGGTTACTGGGCAGCCCACCAACATGTTCATCAAGATGGAAATATCGGCCTTTACAAGGCCTCGAGATATTCGGCGATCAAAGACTTCCCGCACCTTCTCAAAGTGCTTTGCTTGAATCTGCCGGTGCTCTTTCCAAGACGTCTCAAGATCCGAGAACTGTTTCTGCAATGCCTCCGCTTCAGATTCCCACTTCTTCTTCTTCTCGGGAGACAACTCAAGCCAACGCTGTTGATAACCTTCCTTCTCATAGAACAGGCTTGAAGCATCTACGTTTTTTCTCGGCTTGGCAGGATCAAGGTCGGCAGGAGCAGTTGATATGCTACCAAGGCAAGTCTGAAACATTGCTTTCACAGATGCCTCGCCCCACTGCGCAACATCCACTACCAAGGAATCCACAGAAGTCGCAGCGTTGCTCAGAATGTGATGCAATTCTTGAGGCACGTCTTTCTCCCTGAAGCACTCGCGGGCCTCGTCAAGGGCCTTTTGGGACACGAGAGTCCTCTTCAAGAGATCCAGAATTGCCGCTCGGTCTTCATGCATCAGGAAGAACTCCGACAGCAAGAACGTCTGGCATGCAAGCGTGGCCGATGGCTTGGACAATTGGAGTCCATAGCATCGGGTGAGCAGGAATTGCAGTGCTTCGATCCCAGTACCAGCTGGAAGCGTAATGTCCAAGTCCGTTTTTCCAGCGCACCACGAAGACTCCTTGAAATATGGTATTTGCTTCAAGGCCGCCTCATGCACGGTCAACGTATGCTTCACACCTTCCGCAGTCACGGACAACCTGACTGGCTGAGAGCTTATGACCATCTCCATGTTCAGAGGCGTCTTTACAAGCCGAAGGTGAGCTAGGCTGACGTTACTTCCCTCTACTCCCAGTGCTCTTTTCTCAGCATGAGGCTCTCCCAACTGACGTATATGAAGCAGGACGCGGAACTTCAATTGACACTTGTTACCAATCTGGATGATGTACCAGCCCGCTGTTCAACCAGACTTGAAAGCTGTGGGGCTAAGCAGGCTTGCAAACAAGGCTTCCTACTCAAGCCACGAATCAGTGGGTAAAAATGCCAATACCATCCTTGCTGTCATGATTCTGTGGGATGTTGTAAGGGTTGAGTACAACTTGTAATGTCCCCTACTGCTGTGGCCGCGCAAAACGCCACCCTAAACCCTAAACCCCCATTGTCGATCTGAAGCCGCCTCAAGTTTCCGAGATGCAGGGCTTAGGGCCTCTAGGGTTACGAGTACAACTCTTACCCTTGGGAATGTGGATAGTCTCATCATTGTCTCATGCCTTCTTTCCTCTAGGCTTGCTTATCTGCTGGTGCTATTTGTATTGGCCCTAAAGATGAGGAGTCTTTGCAGTTGTCCTTTAGAGAAGGATTTTGCTGCTCTGCCGGCTTATGTTCATCAGGTGATCAGCGGTTCCGGGTATATTGGGGTGTAATCGGGTATACTGGCCTTGGACACTAAGCCTGAACCCCTAAAGCGTCATGTAGTCACCGAATTTTTCAGCCCTGCAGGGTTTGCCCACCTATAGTCAGGGAATTCAAAGTATGGGGTTCAGGGTTTAGGGAGGCGAGTAGTACAGCGCAGGGAGCTGTTGGGTGTTTCGGTCCCGTTGCAGCTACAGTCATCATAGCGGCTAGAAAAAGACAAACCAGAGCAGTCCTTAACTCTTGCGGCCCACAATTCAGGTGCGGGTTGAAGGGTTCAGAACTTACCGTTCAGGGCTGAAGGGTTCAGCGTTTAGGCTTCAGGGTCCTGGACGGGTCAGGATTGAGGGCTTCTGGGATTTATGGTCCACGCTTGAGGTTTCGAGGTGAGGGAGACATGCGATTGAGAGATCTATGAACGCAAAACTCTGAACCCCGAATCGTCAGCTCCTACCAGTCCTACCAGACGTTTTTGTTGCTAAGAACCCCTGTAGCCGAAAGCGTGCAACCATCTATGGATCAGGGAATCCGCGCCGAACGGTCTCTTTTCAAGCAGTGACCTGCACGTCACTCGGGAGCTTCAGAAAATGAAGAACCCCTCATCTGGACTCTGCTAAGGTAGGTACCCCTAAACCCCTAAACCCCTGGTTCTCTGAAGCTCCCACTTGCTCCCCCACCACTCCTGTCACTGTAGCCTCCCCTCCCCTGATGGAGTCGGCAAAGCAGCTGAAGAATCCTACTAGTACTGTGATGGTGAAAGTTGGGCAAGATTGTTGGGGCAAGGCTAATCGTCCTACTTACACAACCCACACCACCAAAATCATGACCATGAGTACAGGCTCCTATAAGACTGTGTAAGGTTCCGTAGGGTTGTGTAAACGGGTTTTCCGTGTCCTTGGAATGGTCCGTGACGGCTGGATAGGTTCAGAGTCTGTTGAGGAATCGCTTGCGATCTGTCTAGTATAGAGGCCTGAACACTTAGAATAGGGCTTTGGAGTACACTATTGACCATGAAAGAAAACTTGTAATCAAGAGCCGGAAGACACAGTGTAGGTAATCTACAGATCCTACTACTCAGACTACGTAGGAAGATCACGAGCATGAGATACTTTGAATGTTGCTTGCATTGCTTCCACGAGCCTCACAATTACAAAGCCTTGTTCAAAGCTATCTGAGTAGTACTGCTTGCACACATGGTTAGTTCTCTAAATCAGGGTCCCTTTTTGGGTCCCCAATATAGTATGGCGCCCTTATAAAACGGATCCTAAATTTTAAAAAGGACCCTTATTTAAAGAACCACCCACATGCATTCGGCAAGAAGGGCGCATCAGGGTGCAAGGTACTTCAAGCAGAGGCATGCCGGGCTTGGTTTCTTTACCCCTAAACTCCTAAACCCCCTAAACCCCTAAACCCCTAAACCCCTAAACCCCTAAACCCCCTAAACTCTAAACCCCTAGCTTTGGTGACTCCAGCAGCACCCCGCCATAGTTCTTCGGCTGCCGACTCCACGCCATGTGAGGCGTCCTAGTGACTTGTTATAGGTCCGCAGGCGCGACAAAAGAAGAAAAAAACAAAGGCCCGGGGCTCGCTTCCCTTCAGTTTCTCTATCTGGTGATGGTCACGCGATGAAGAGTCTCCGGATTCAGGATTCAAGGGTCTGGTATCAAACATTTAGGGCTTGGGACTGACTGCCTGCGTCAGAGAGAAAAAACACTGGACGGCATCAGCACTTGTGGATACCCTGGAGGCGCGGATAAGCGCCTCGGAGGCGCAAACACGCCTGAACCCTATAAACCCGAAGCATGCAACCCCCATGCCAAAATAGCCTAAAACCTAAACCCTCTCATCATTCGAGATGCCAGCTTCTGCCTACACGAAACCCGAGCGGGTCAGAGTTTAGGGTCTCGAAAGCCTGAAATCTCCTGTGCTTATCCGATACCGAAATCCTTATCTCTCACCCGCAGAGTCCACAGAGTGATAGCTTCAGTTGAATTCAAACTGGATTAGAAGCAGGTGCTGGGGCCTTCTGGGGTGGCGCTTTGGTTTCAGGTTTCACCTGTTCAGGGCTCCTCCCTCGGGCTGGGCTTAGGGCTCGGAGGGCTTAGGGCTTGGAGAGTTTAGGGTTTCAGGTCCTGGGCTTGGGGTGGACGAGTTTCGGAGCTGGGACTTCGTGTTCAGGGTAGTAGTAGAGAGGCCTTGCTTTAGAGAGGGTTATAAGTTATAAGGAGTATGGTATATCAATATACTTTCAGGAAGGAACCCCCGAGGAAGAACAGGTCTATAGGCCTGGGAAGGTCGGGCTCCAGGTTGAGAGCTAGGGCTTCCTTCAGGGGTTCGGGGTTTAGGGCTAAGGGGGTGTTTAGGGTTCAGGGTTTCGGGTTTAGGGCTTACGGGGGTTTTAGGGTTTAGGGTTCCGGGTTTAAGGCTTAGAGGGGTTCAGGGTTTCGGGTTTAGGGCTTAGGGCTTAGGGGGAGAAAGGCTTCAAGGGTTTGGATTCAAGGCTTCGGGTTCCCCCGTAACTTGTAGCCCCTTCACAATCAGGGGGTACACTTCTGCATTTTGTTCAGCTTTTTTTCATACCCAAAACAAGAATTGCATGAAGTTTTCCGGGATCTCGCTGCTAAGCTGCGGAGACAGGCTGAAAGACAAAGATTGCAAAAATCCTTTCCCAATCAGGTCTAGCCACCCCAGGCGCCAACCAGAAACCCTGAAGCCACACACCCGAAAGGAAGCCCTAAAGACCTTCGCCCCACTGCCCCCATATCTTGCTCCATGGGCTCGCGCCGATCCGTGTGCCACTCTCGCAGAGCCACCTGAAGCGCTTGCATTTTCTGCGGGGCTCGGGGCTGTAGGTCCGGAGTTTGGGGCCTGCTCCGGATTTCGAAGTTCGGGTGTGGGAAGTTATTGCTAGAGCTGCTGCTGATATGACGTCTTTCTTGTTCCGGGGACCCCATTCATGAACGGACCGCCTCTCTACAGTTCCTGGTACTGCCATTGGTATTCTCGTGGTTACGACTAGCATGGCGATCCCGAGAGTGCACTGTCGGGGTCTGGGGCCTAGCCGAATTCCACAAGTTTCAAAGACAGGCAACCCCAAAACCTGCTCACGACAACAAAGCAAAAAAAGAAAGAACCGTTCTAAAGTTCTAAAGTCTGATGAACCCCTTGTAAAGCCCTGAGGAACCTTAATGAAACCCTAGATGAAACACTGTCTCAACACAAGCCTAGAAAACCTTCATGCAGCCCCATGAGCACGAAAAGCCTTTAAACCCCCAACGCGAAACCCCAACCCCCCGTATGAAATTAAAAGCAGCTGAACTCCAAGACGCCTCGGGCTTCCTGATCCCGGTTCGCTCTGAGGAGCAGCATTCAGAAGACCTCGTGGGCTTTGTAGTGCTTTGTCGGGCTTTAGGGTTTAAGGCTCGAGGCTTAGGCCATAGAGCTTGGGGTGCAGGGTTAGGATTCAAGATTTAAGGGTTACGGGAGGCTTTCGGTGCAATGGGCATAATTACCTTCTTTAGGGAGCCGGACAAGAAGGATTCTGTTTTCTCCAACTCTCGATTTCCCTCAAGACAACTGGGCACCTCAAACAAAACCTTGATTCGAAGCAACCTCCAGATACGCTCCTAAACATCAACTTTAGACCCGAAGCCCTAGACCCAACCTTTACGCTGTTGTCCACGCACCTGGTCTCATTAATGAACCTGCAGGCCTGCAGGCATGGGCGAGTTGAGTTACTACAAGTCGCTCCTCTATTGTGTCACTTCTGCACAACCAACAGCTGCCACAGCACAGTCCATACATGATCGCCACTCAAGGTGCACATTGTTGCGTTGAGGCAAGCTCTGGCTTCGGGGCCAGGGGGTTTTGAACCCTACTACGCACATCCCAAAGGAAGACTGCAGCGAGCCTCGTCCATCAAGACGCTGTGCTGCTCTGGGGCGTTGGGAACCAACTTGGTCTGAGGAGGATAGCTGGAGGTGTCGGGTCAATTGGAAGACCGCCACAAGCAGCTGGGTATGCTTTCCACGGATCTAGGCCCCGGAAGTAAGCCCGAAAAGCTAAGGCGCAAGCAAATCCGTAACCCAAGGGCCCGAAGCCCTACATCCGAAATCCGAATCCGCACCCTGAGACCGGAGGTCAGCCTTCTCCGAAACTGGCTCCTCCTGGATCGGCACAGTGTGACGAGAACAATCTCACTGCAGGAAAGACTTGGTTCTTCGAGAACGGGCACATGTGAAGACGGGGAGCGGGACGCAAGAAGAAATGCTAGGAATGAACAACACTCAAGCCATTCAAGAAATCAGATCAAGGACAACAGCAAAAGCCACTCATCAGCATCATCATCATCGTCATCATCATCATCGTCGTCGTCGGCGT